TTCGAATTGTCTTATTAACGTCTACTATGCTCTAGCGTTCTCAACAATAAGTTATAACATAATTTCTTGGGGACAAACCACAGAAATAAGCAGAGTCTTTACTCTACAAAAACGCATTATTCGTCTCATTTTCAACTTGAAGTATCAATATTCCTGCAGAAATCACTTCAAAAAACATCGAAACATTGGTCAGCATTTACATATTGAAATCATTGTGTCACATCCATAAAAGCAAACACCATCTAAAGAAATGTTCAGAAATTCACAAATACACCACTAGAAATCACAATCATATTTATATGGAAAAGTTTCATCATATGGAGTACAAAAAATCTCCGAAATATAGCGGGAGTCATCTCTACAACTTACTGCCTGAATCAATAAAAAATCAATCTCTGAAGAAATTCAAGACTGATCTTGAAAAAATTCTAACCTCAAATAGTTTCTATGATGTTTCTGAATTTCAAATGCATTTAACTAACTACATTATATTCTGCATCTGTCGCTAACCAGCCTAAAATGTATATATCTTTTGAATGTTATATGTTTTCTCAAATAACTTATGTATAGTGTTTCATAAAATGTAACTGACGAACCTACATGTACATGGCAAAAGGGTAATAAATGTACTATTCTATTCTATTCTATTCTATCCCTTTTAATTACAGAGTGATATCGAAAAATTAACTTTTAGGTTTTGCAGTCATAACTCTTTTCCTTCCCAACCGATTTTTAAAATCTCAGGCTCATTTTGAAGATGAAACTTCAGATGAAAAGATATGAAGACCAGAATTGACTCAAGATGAACATTGCACAGTATGTCTCACTTTTAATGGAAGCATCCCTGATCTTTCGTATTTGTTTAGTTAGGATTCTGAAATTTGCAAGAACGGCAGATATACAGTGTGTCCCAAATTCGATCCTCACCATTGGGATCTCAGTAACTATGAGAGATAGAGAAACGGTTAAATTAGCAAAGTTGTAGCAAATTTGATGTTGAATCAGAATATATCTGGGCTAGCTTCAGTCATTATTGAGTAATTTGAGAAAAACTGAAATTTTGTATTTTTGTTTTCCTCGAATATCTCGAAAATGTATACTGTGCTAGTCAAAAGTCCCCTCCCCCCCTCGTATCTTTTGAACGGGTATACTTATAATAATGGCCTTGTGACGTCATTTATGACTATTGCGTCACCTGTTATGACCAGTTGAGAAGCCTACATCCGTTTATTTCCACCCTCCAAATATCATTATTATAAGTATACCCGTTCAAAAGATACGAGGAGGGGAGGGGACTTTTGACTAGCACTGTATAGCAAAACAACGTGTACCAGGTATCAGCATCAGCTATTGTAATAAATAGTAGTTTGAAAAAGTAATGAAACACGTGTTTATAGATAGTCAAACTGAAAAGGAGTGAGTAGTAAATAAATTAAAAAGTGAAGAGATATACCGGGTGACACAGGATATCGGGCCACCCCTCTGTAACTTCAGCATTCGTTAACGGATTTTTCTGAAATTCGGTACAGTCATATAAGCAACTATTTCGGATTTGATCACATTACAATCCAATATGGCGGACTTCCGGTTTTTCCGGAAATGCCAGCAATTTTGTTTTTTTAAATGGAGCACCCTGTATATTTTTACATATTCAAGTTCAACAAGTCAAAACAAGTGCAATCTTGATGTCAAATGTCATTTATTCCACAGCCTACCTAGTTGAAAAATTATTCTAACTGCAAGGAAATTCATAAACTAGTTGTTGATTTTTGAATGTATACAATTTGTTACTGCACCGAAAAACAAAAAAGATATTTCATTTTGTTCCTTAATGTATGTTCTAGAGAAACGGGTAGGTGGCCCATAGGGATTCCATTTGAAAAAAAATAATTTTTGATCAAAAAGTGATGTGGCTGAATTGATTCCTGGATAAGTGACACAAAAAATAATTTTGCAGAAAAAATGACGTTCTCCTGTTATGTGTGACTCATTGTGAATAGTCTTGACCACGTCTCGTTTATCCACGAGGTAAAATGAAAAAACAATTTTAATTTAATTTTTTTCGAAAAAATGACATTTGAAATAAACATTGCACTTGTTTCGACCTGTTGAACTTGAATATGTAAAAATATACAGGGTGTTTCATTTGAAAAAACGAAGTTGCTGGCATTTCCAGAAATACCGGAAGTCCGCCATATTGGATTGTGATGTGATCAAATCCGAAATAATTGCGTATACAACTGTACCGAATTTCAGAAAAATCCGATGACGAAAGCAGAAGTTACAGGGGTGGCCCGATACCCTGTGTCACCCGGTAGAGTGCCGAACTAAAACGAAGCAGAGAATAAGTAGAATAGTTTGAAAAACTGGAGAATTCCGTTTTCATGGATAGTCGACCTAAAAAGAAGTATATCTAGAAATAATGTTATGGCAAAACAACGTTTGCCGGGTCAGCTAGTATCATTATATTAATTCACACTAGAGGATATTTGAGGGTAAACGTGATAACCCGGCGCACGAATTGTGGGCGGTACCTTGTCAGTTCTCAGCATTCAGCACATTGTTGCCAAGTCTTCAACATCGACATGATATTTTGTTATAGGGTACAAGAGATATACAGACATGCTGGTTGCTCGAAAAAGTCAAGAATGATCTATAATATCATGGCTTACTATTATTATATTTTATCTCGTGTTTTATCCAACGACAGGACTCTAATCTTTATGATAAATTGATTATAATTGGTGACTTGACAACGTAACTTCATGAGTGGAAATGAAAGATTATTTTTGCAGTATTGCAGTATCATTGCAGAGAAAAGTATTGTTTATCTGCCTGCCTCGTCTTCATTGAGATAGTTGATGAATTGATGAATTACAAAAATATATCGCGTTCCAGTTACGAATGTTGGAAATATTATTCAGGTATGTTTCAGATTCAACATCCTTGTTCTGCCTCTCATGAAAATCAGTATTAATTTTCATGGACTTCGATATTTGTTGTCATGTTTATTTGCAGATATGAGAAGCAAAGTGTTGATACTTGTCACTGAATCGGAGAAAACCATCCAGTCACGACGAATCGAACAAAGAATCCGCAAAGAAAAAAGGCCAGAGAATACTTTACAGAATTCAGATCCTTGTATTCGTACGGAAAGCGATATATTGATATCCTTTCCAGATTCTCAAGAAAACAGATAAGACAGATATTCACCTTTATGTCTCCATGGAGACACGACAGGTACCCTTACGAGGGGAGAGTATCAACTTGGCGTTTATAAACCCTCTCTGGAAAAGGAGGAAGGCGCATGGTGGGTTAGGTATATACAGTGTTCTTCATTGCAGAGAAAATTGTTGTTTATCTGCCTGTCTCGTCTTCATTGAGATAGTTGATGAATTGATGAATTACAAAAATATATCGCGTTCCAGTTATGAATGTTGAAAACAATATCCAGACTTTTCATAGATTCATATTCTATGTAGGTCTCATGATTTGAATTTGAAATTGATACTTAGTTTTAGATCTGAGCAGCACATTGTTTGGCCTTCAAGGTCCTTGATATAACCCTCGTAATTGAACATGTGGAAGATGCCTACTGGAAAAACCACTATATGGAAAGGAAGCGGATATGTAGCAATCTAGTTACGTTGAAAATATTATTCAGGTATGTTTCAGATTCAACATCTATGTATCTGCTCTAATGATATTTTCTGATTCAAATGTACTTCAATTTAAATGTGATGTTTAGTTGTAGATCCAAGAAGCAGTGTTTGATGCTTGCCACTCAATCGGAGAAAACCATTCAGTAAAAACGGACCGAACAGAAGATCCGCAAAGAGAACTGACCAGAGTATTCTTTACAGAATTCAGATCATTATATTCGTACGGAAGGCGATATATTGATTAACTTTCCAGATTCTCAAGCAGACAGATAGACATATATTCAGCTTTATGTCTCTATGGAAACACGACAGGTACCCTTACGAGGGGAGAGTATCAACTTGGCGTTTATAAACCCTCTCTGCAAAGGAGGTAGGCGCATGGTGGGTTAGGTATATACAGTGTTCTTCATTGCAGAGAAAATTGTTGTTTATTTGCCTGACTCGTCTTCATTGAGATAGTTGATGAATTGATGAATTACAGAAATATATCGCGTTCCAGTTACGAATGTTGAAAACAATATCCAATATTCTATGTAGGTCTCACGATTTAAATTTGAAATTGATCCTTAGTTTTAGATCCGAGCAGCACATCGTTTGGCCTTCAAGGTCCTTAATATAACCCACGTACGTAATTGAAAATGTGGAAGATGCCTACTGGAAAAAACACTATTCGGAAAGAAAGCGGATATGTAGCAATCCAGTTACGGACGTTGAATATATTATTCAGGTATGTCTCAGATTCAACATCCATGTAATTCATCTAATGATATGTATTTTCTGATATGAATGTACTTCGATTGATTTGTGATGTTCTGTTGCAGATCAGAGATGCAGTATTTGATACTTGCCACTCAATCGGAGAAAACCATCCAGTCCATACGAACCGAACAGAAGATACACAAAGTGAACTGACCAGAGTATACTTATGGTGACTAGTTATGTTATATACTTGGTATATTATGATTTGATAGTCTGACATTGATGTGACATTTTTTCAATATAATTACAACTCAAAGTCTTATAATATGCATCAATTTTATCCACAATTTGGTGACCCTGACGTGATATTATGGAGCAGTTGAGCGAAGGCGAGATCATACAAATTTCAAGACATTTCAACATCCATGTGTGTGATTCGATGGAATTTTCTACTTGTATAATTGTTAGGATCCCATTCTTGATCTAGTATTCTAGTATTTCTTATTACCTGTTCTGACTCGTCCATTGTATTATTTATAGCTTTGTATTATTTATAATTTAGTATTCTAGTATTTTTCATTACCCGTGTTTACTCGTCCATTCTATTGTAGCGATATTAAGAAGGATTTAATAATTTACCTGGAAAAAAGACAGTATGTTATCGTAGCTCCAAAACATCGGATGATCCAATACGGCCCTGCAAGACGGTCTGGCACTCGCATCCGAGGATATCAGGGCCGTCACGACCGTTTTGTAGAGGACCGTGAGCCAGGCGGGGCCTTTCAGGTCGTTCAAGTCGTACTTGCCCGTCAGGATGTTCGCCTGTCGTCTCAGGGAATCGCCGAACGGGTGAGAACCCTTCGAAAGGACGTAATAGTAGAGGCATCCCAACGAGAACATGTCGACTGCATAGGTCTGCAAATATACTGGCCGTTAATGATAGATTTTGTGCAACATTTTTTCAATGTATGCATCTTTCAAGTCATTATTTTAATGGGATTTAACAAGCACTAGACAATTATCTAAATTATAATTCTCAGATGACACTTCGTTATAGGTTTAGTTATATTATAGGGAGATGAAAATTGTGTATATCATGAAGAATGGCTGAAAGAATAACTGGACTTCAGGTTACTGATGAGGATCTGATATCCGAAATGATTTTTTTTGAAGTTCCAAGCTCATCAAGATCAGAGTTCATACACGTATACTTCTTCTATACATTTCAATTTTCATTTAAATACTGAACATATTGGTGAGTTATATTTTAATATCATAATACATCATATTATTCTATTCAATTTGAGAGATAATGCCAATTCTCAATTTCAGAGGATTTTAATTTTTCATGCTCTCTTTTTGGATATTCAACAGATATAATTCAATGTTCGACGTGGCAAATAGCCAGAAGAGCATCGCCCATGAAAATATCCATAAAATAGAGCCAGATCGCCAACTTTTCTACGGTTTCCGGGTATGAGTGAAATAGGTCCTGGCCCAAAACAGAAAACCAAGTTTTTGGGATGCACTTTTAGCAAATGATCTCACGTGATTTTCCCAAGAAAGGTTATTGCTGAAAGTAATACCAAGCATCGAAATGGGTGTCTTCAAAGGTATGATTACTCCTGAAAAGCTTATGTTGGGCACAGTGAGATCGGCTTTTCTAGAGAAAAGGCATGCGTGTGTTTTGTTTGCATTGAATGAATTGAATGGATCCCCATTCGAGAATTATTGTTGCCAAGGCCATATTTTTGTTGTCAACATTTCTCCCTCGTTCGTTTCTGATTTGCCTGGCTGGTATTGGAGCCCTGGAAGAGTAGGCGGTATGGAGGGTACTATCATTCGCGAAGCTGTGTACTGGACATGAGCAATTTCAAGTTTTTTGGAATCTCGAATTACCCTGTAGATCGGTATTCGCTCAATATCAAAGAAATTCAAGTGATGAATCCCTCCCTGTACCGATTTCATGAACAAACTCTCTTATTTCATGAACAGATCAGCTGCAATTAAAGACATTTCAAAAAACGTTGATTTTCCATTAAAAAGATGTTGCATATTAATGAAGTATGCTGGCGGAAAAATCTCCAAACCGTGTCGGCAAAAAACATCAAGCATTCATAATATGCCCTAGAAAATAGTCTGAAAAATTTTCTATATGATTGGGATAACCTTTAAATTAGTCATTTTTGTAACGATTCAATGTTTCTCCCTGTATATCTGAAAACACAAACTTCATGGACATAGTAATAATAATAATAATAATAATAATCCGTCTTTATTTCCTCAAAAGAATATTACATAGTAACATGAGGCATAGGTGGTATGTGCATCAGGCGAAGTTTAGCTAGGAAGCTATTCTTACACTTAACCTGTGCTCGACTTATAACCTAATCCTAATACTAATCCTAAAAACCTAAATCTAGCTTGACATCTACATTTTCACTTATTGTCTCACATGTAAAGTATGATTCAACAAATTGCTCTTAATTTTTTTACGGAATTGCGTCGATGGTGATTGTTTGAATTCTATTGGTAATGAATTATACAGTATGACCGAGTTGTATGTGAAGCTTCTTTCAAACAGAGACGTGGTATGATGAGGCATTGTTAATTTTAGCTGATGTCTAATATTTATATTATGGACATTTTGTCTGAAAATGAGTTTTTCTCTAAGATAAGCTGGAGTTTGATCCTTAAGCAACTTGTGAATGAAATTAAAGAAATAATATTTTGAGGAATTGCTCATATCTAACCACTGAAGTTCCCTGAGTTTATGGGACACATGATCATATTTTCTCAAATTGAAAATGAGTCGACAACATGTATTTTGAATTTTCTGGATTCTGTAAATGGTTCTTTGTTCTAAACAGGTAGGTAGTAGGTAGGTAGTAGGTAGACCATCTCATTTTTGAACGATTAATAATTATTACACAACATGGAACAAACCGTTCCAGAATCGGACTAGGGTTTTTTATAATATCTGATTTCGAAATTGAGTGAAATACAGTTCTCAACACACTAAATGGACCACTCATAATTTGACTCTATTTCGAAGACCTGTATTTTTTGAAAAAATTGACCGATCTTCATGTGGTTTTCGCTATCAGATGTGATGTTCCAGCGGCTTCAAAAAGAGCTAGAACACTCTGAAAAAGTCTGCAGAACAAAACTTACACAGGGTGTAAAGTGGAACCATTACACTATGGTCTACATTTCCAATGCTGCCAAAACTCGAGAAATTTTTTTCTGTTCAAAAGTCAGTCATATTATGATACACTGGGACCTCATCTCGGGACGTTTTCGTGATTTCTCCTTAATTGGTCATAGGAACAAAAATTTGATTTTTTTCGAAAGTTTTGCATTTCTTGAATTTTTTCTCTAGACCTCCACTTGAGCTGACTATAGGGAAGAACTGTTCTTATGTTTTATGGAGGACAATCAAAGACGAAAAAAGCACTATCGTGGATCGTGGAATATATACAGGGTGATAAGAAAATAGGACAAAATCTCATTTCAGTAAAAAAAAAATCAAAAATGGTGACTATTTGATTCAGTATATTCAGAAACGGCCTTCTCGATATCCATTATTTATATTAGACTATAAACTCGACACGTTTTTGAAAATTCGCCTCTATTTGAAATACAGGATGAGAATTTTCAATTCAAACTTGATTCCTGATATCGATGATTCTTATCAACTGATTTCCAATATTTATTGCCCAAGTATGAGACACAGAGTATTTTTGTTCAATATACTGAGTGCTTCACAACTGACAAATTACGAACTCTAGAAAACAATAATGTCAGAAGAAGGTGGTGACAAGCATTATCTCCAGATCTGAATTTGATTGAACATGTGTGGAGCCGAATGAAACTCAACCTATCGAGAAGGCGAGAGGCATTCCAAAATAATGACAACCTTATCCAAGCTGTATCAGAAGAATAGAAGGCAATATCAATAGACTTCATCAACAACCTCATAGAATCTTTGCCAAACCGATTTCATGAGGTTTTGTTAAATCGGGGAGGCCCTACCAAGTACTGAAATTTAGGATATAGGACTTCCTAGTTGGATTTTCATAATGCTGAAGAATTCACTAATGTCATATTTCGCCAATAGAGCCCATTTCGAATAGTTTTAGTGGATATGAAGTGTTATAAATTTTATTTTCCATCTCGTTTTACTTCCATAAAATTTTTATGTGCAGACTTCTTATGTAATATCGTAGTTGTGGTTGAAATTAGTCAGATAAGTTGTGAAACACTCAGTATAATGAACAACAATTCTGTGTCTCATACTTGGGCAATAAATATTGGAAATCAGTTGATAAGAATCATCGATATCAGGAAACAAGTTTGAATTGAAAATTTTCATCCTGTTGAGGCAAATTTTCGAAAACGCCTCGAGTCCCAGTGTACCATAATATGACTGACTTTTGGTCAGAAAAAATTTCTCGCTTTCTGGCAGCATTGGAAATATAGACCATAGTGTAAAGGTTCCCTGTGTAAGTTTTGTTCTGCGGACTTTTTCAGAGTGCATTAGCTCTCTTTGAAGCCGATGAAATATCACATCTGATATCGAAAACCGCATGAAGATCGGTCAATTTTTTCAAAAAATACAGGTCTTCGAAATAGAGTCGAATTATGTGAGGTCCATTTAGTGTGTTGAGAACTGTATTCAGGTGGACCAATTCATTTGTCATCCAGTTTATATCCCAATTCGCGGGAATCAATGTTACCAGGTGGCGCTCGGTTTTCATCGTTCCATGTCAAAGCCACGTCAAAACGGGGGGAAAACAAACTCAATCCTCACTCAATCCCATTAGTGCCATTAGCTTGTGTACTGTGTACTGATAAGAGTGATAAGTTTTTAAATTTCTTGACATTCATTGTCAATATTCGATCGAAAGCGCTAATAATGCCTGTTGTAGATGTTCTTTTGGCAGATATTTTGCTCTATTTAGATGGAATAAGCCGACCAGTAGTGGAAGGAGAAGCAGTTCTCCGTGCTAATCATGTGATTTTCTGTAAGGCAGAAGACTTCAACAAAAGGCACAATTTTGCACTTTGTCTACAAACTTCGGCGATGAAATCTTCCCCACATGAAGTAAAATTGAAGTTGGGACCCAGAGGAACTCCTGTAGAACAATGGATTTGTATTCGTTCATGCAAAGCAGGACAATCTGGGTATTGTAAACATGTTGTAGCTGTTCTTTTATATATCAATTGATTTGCTCGTCATAATTAGTTTGAATTGTTTGAACTATCTCCAATTCATCACCCGTTCACTGTTCACTAAACTAATGAAAATGTAATAATGTAAAAAAATTGACCAACACCATCATCACTACCAACAGTGCCAACACTTTATGTCATTGACAAGTTTGACTACAGCTACAGCAAGCTGAATGCAATGTAGTCTATGCACTTTATCCATAGACAACAGTTTGTTTTCCCCCAGTTTGAAGTTCGTATTATGTAACCTAGATGTCGCCCACTTCGTGAATCTCACGAATAGATTTACTTACCGTTCTTTCGTTGCTGTTCAGCATCTCGGGCGCTATCCATCCGTCCGTTCCCGTGATGCCAGATCGTCTGGAGAACGACACTCGGCCGACTTGCAGCTTCTTGCACAGCCCGAAATCGGATATCATGGCTCGGACTTGGCCCTTGTTGTCGGGCACCGATATCAGCACGTTGTGCGGCTTGATATCCCGATGAACTACGAACAAATCGAGTTGCAGATACCGCCACTGACATAACTATTATCTAGACAGCTAATGCCATAAGAGAGAAGGTATAGGTCGCGTGCACGATGACCGACCCTGGAGGTAAAATATTGAAACATAACCACACTCTTCTGTGGAACATTGAAACACAACCTCACTTTTTTTATTTGTTTGCAGAGGAATCAAAGGATTGAAATAGTTTTTCACAATATTTTGGCACAGGAATTGTGTTTTTTTGCGCTATTCATTGATTCAAGCATTCCTTCTCATTGTGCTGTTGTACAATGCACAAAAAATGCAGCGAGAGACGAAGGATTTGGATTTTTCAGGTAAATAGTGATCTCACATAGTTTTCATCCTGAAATTTTGTCATTTCTTATTGAAATTCTTTCTGCCACTTCTGCAATGAAAGCTAATACTGCTAAAGATTGAAAATGTCTACAACACACACGATCCTATTTCGTCAGCATGTCAGACCAGTCCTCCCGTTTGATTGCATGAATCCAATCTTCTTGCATTATTTTAGAAATTTCACAAGTATTTCTATTAGTTCCTATTGCAGAAGGAATTCCAATGAGAAATCAGAGAAATTACCAGATTTCAAAATGAAAACTACATGTGTGACTATAGTAGGTACTATCATAGGCGTATCCAGGGAGGGGGCTGCCGGGCTGCAGCCCCCCCATGAAGGCAAGTCTTAGGAGGATAATTTATAATTTTTACATATTATAACCACTTCTGACGTACGACAATATTCATCACTTCTCTATAACCTACGTAAGAAACAAATTAACAAAACATAATTCGAAAATATTGATATTATATAAGTGCGTAATGGCAACAGTGCTATTTATTTGCGTTGCGACAGTCGGCAGAAATGTCCCATCCCTCTTCGCCCGTCAGGACAAATCGTGACTCGTGAGATGTCGCGTTATTTTGATTATTTTTTCACTATTTATTTTGTTTTGTTTGATCAAATGATTTGCATTCCGTAGTTTTCATTATAATTCATTCATATTATAGATATTTTTCATGGTGAGGCAGCTTATGTAATTTGTTAAACTATTATTAGTTTTAACCTATGTATAAATTTTTTGTGAAACAATAGAAATAAAGTTTGTTTTAGCGAAGTATCAAGTGAATCAGTGTTGCACCTTAAATTTCCGCCAAACTTCCTCCAGGGTCGGTCATCTGACAGTTCTTGCACGCAACCCATAGTTTATTCAAAGTCAATGGGGGAGTTCGCTCCAAGTTGCCAACCTAGAAAAACCTCTAGCACTGTAATAGCTTTATTTTGATGAAATCTGATAGTTGGAATCAAGTCAGCTTTCTAATGAAATTTATTCAGAAGAAAAATTAGTTCTTGTGAACTACACATCTAACTGGTTGGAAATCGTGTTGGTGCATCTGCGGTACGTCAATGTCAATACCTACTGAAATGTCAATACTTCCAATAGTTTCAGTAGTGTCACGAGTAAAAAATGATATATCAATGAATCACTATATCAGTAAGTTCGAATCACGTTCGAACTTTGAATAATGATCAAGAAAGTCTCATGAGAAACGTGCAAACCTATAATAAACTGGATGTGAGGGTTCCAAAGTTATCTGGTCTGGGGCTACTCTCGACTCGTCGTAATGCGGCGATCAACATAACATTGTTATTAGGTCTTAATATCCATTGTTTTTCTTTTATATATCTTCACTACCCATAATATCTCATGCTATATATATATAAATATTGTGATGTTCGAATAGTCTTGTGATTTCAGCTACCATTGAACTATCTGTGTCTTATTATTTGAATGAAGGTATGTTATTTTGATATTGATGTATTCCGACATTTGTGATATGTATCTCTATCACTGGAAACTTTATTCAAAGCGAGCCGTGTAAGATTTGAAAGTATTCATTGTCATTTATTTACTAGGGCAATGGTTATCAATACATATCGATATCAACTGCAAGTTCTTCGTTTCCACACAGTTATGGTTTCATCCACTCACACTTCATTGGGTTATTTGTCATTTCAGGAAAAGGTTGAAACTTTATTATTTCATTCTTACGAAGCACTCAAATGTAATATTTATTTATTTATTTATTTATTTATTTATTTATTGAACAAATAACTTCCAGACAGAATAGGCTCTGGTATAAGGAAGTACATAATTATATACCTATAGGTAAACATAGCATCATTCAAAATATATCAACAACTGTAAATTGGCAAACAAAGAATAATATTTGTAAAAAAAAAGAAAAAAAAAAAAAAAAAAAAAGAAAAATGGCATGATTAATTTTATCCAGTCCGCTCAGAAATAATTAGTTTTTTTACTTCATTTTTGAATATACCTATATTTCTGCAATTTTTTATATTATCAGGTATTTTATTGAATTCAGTTAAGGCTGAATGAGTGAATCTTTTTTGTCCGATTAGGGAGCTAGCGGCGTCAAGATGGAACAAGTTATATTGTCTAGTTTCATGATTATGAATTTCAGAATTCCGTATCAAAATAATATTCGACTTCAATTTTTTATTTATGATATTATATGATACTTTGAGAGTTTCAATTCTATATATTTCATCTAAAGAATACGTATTTGTTATTTCATACAATTGATTGGTTGGTGTATCAAATGGGAGACGATACAATACTTTTAACGATTTTCTATATAATGTTGATATTTTATTGAAATTATTTTTTGAACAAGATCCCCAAACATTTATTAAATAGTTGATACGACTCAGTATATGAGAGTAGAGAATCATGTTTGCAATTTTAATATCAAGTTTGAACTTCTTGACCAAAGAATGATGAACAATAGTGTTGTTCATAAATAAAATGATCTAATGAAATACGTAACAAGAATGTGACAAGTAATAAAATTGACGACGATATGACATATTTCAGAATGGAAGCAGGTGCATCAACATAATTTTCAACTAATCAGAACTGGTGTTCACAAAAATCCATTTTTCTTCTGAATAACTTATCTTAGTGGGCTGAGTAGACTCCTACAATCAGATTTCATCGAAATATAGCCATTTGAGTTAAAAAAACTTTCACAATGTTGCTTCGACATTGGTAGATGTTTTTAGGTTGGCAAATGTACAATGCCTGTTATTATCCTCACCATTCGCAGTTTCTTTCATTCATTCAACCACTAGGGCAGCGCGAAGGACTGCTGCTTCTGGTGTCACAAGAATATAGAATATAAATTCTCTGGCAATGGTTCCGCGCAGAGTTATCCCCACCATTCGCGATTTCATTCATTCATCCATCCGTGTCTGACGTTTAGGATTGATAGCGTATGAACATAAATATCTGGTCAGTGCAGCACTAGTTTTTTTTTTTTATCGATTGGAGCGCACGAAAGGGAATCCCTATAATGTTCAAAGAACATCGTGCGTTCCTAGGGAGGATAGGGACAGGAGGTAGGTATTGGATTTTTTTTTTGAATTTTTGGAGATTATATGTTGTTGGGAATACTTCCACAGGCAATGAATTCCAGAGCCTAGCCGTTCTATGGATGAAGGAGTCTTGATAAAGTGCTGTTCGACATCTTTCGAGGTTGACAACGAAAGGATGTGCTGACTGGGCTTGTCTAGTTCGTCTGATTGGTATTGCTAGTGAAGGGATGGTTGCAGAGATTTCCGAAGAACATTTCCCGTGGAAGTATCGATATAAAAGTGAAAGGTTGCCGACCTTTCTACGGTGTTCCAATGATGTCAAAGAGTGAGTGAGTGTGGCGTCACCCACCAGGCGAATGGCTCTTCTCTGGATGGAATCTAAGAGCATCAGCGTATGTTTCGGTGCTGAACCCCATATGTGGGAACAGTATTCTAGAACAGGCCGTATCTGCGCTTTGTAGATCATGAGAAGCTGTTGAGGTGTAAAGTAGCTTTTCGCACGGAACAAGAATCCGAGTTTTTGTGAAGCAGCTTTTGCGATGGATCTGACATGATTATCCCATGAAAGAGTGTTGCTGATGGTAATACCGAGCATAGATATGGTGGGCTTGGTGGGGATGGTGGAGCCAGACATTACAATATCGGGCATACTGAGTTCCGCCTTTCTAGAGAAAATGCAGGCTTGAGTTTTGGTGGCGTTGAATTCAACTAGGTTGTTCGTTCCCCAGGCTGTGATTTCGGCAAGATCTTCATTGACAGCATTGACCTGCCTGCGCCGTGAGTTCTTAGTTTCCTGGGAAGAAATGGGAATTCTGGAAGAGAACGCAGTATGGAGGGTACTATCATCTGCAGTTATCCTATAGGTTTTGCACCTACTGATATCCAGGGAATTTAAATGGCAGATCCCAGACGTGGCCTGCCGCAACACCTCCAAAGGACTGATAGCATTAATATCGCCCTTACTCTCGATGATGTAGTCTGTCAACATGGACTGGCACAGCTCCAAAGCGATGTAACGGAACATCTTGTCCTGTTCGGTGCAGTAGTACCGGATTACTAACCCGCAAATTTACAATGCCTGTTATTATCCCCACCATTCGCGGTTTCATTCATTCATTCAACCACTAGGGCAGCGCGAAAGACTGCTTCCCGTGGTGCAACAAGAATATGGAACATCAATTCTCTGGCAATGTTTCCGCGCAGAGTTATCCCCACCATTCGTGATTTCATTCATTCATTCATTCATCCGTGTTTTGCGTTTATGATTGTTGGCGTATGAACATAAATATTTGGTCAGTGCAGCACTAGTTATCATCTGAGTTTTGCACCTACCGATATCCAGGGAATGTAAATTGCAGAGCCCGGACGTATGCTGATAGGACTAATACCGCACTTGTCCTCGATGTAGTCCGTTACCGTGGCCTGGCACAGCTCCAAGGTGATGTAGCGGAACATCCTGTCCTGCTCGATGCAGTAGTACCCGGATTACTCACCCGCAAATGTACAATGTCTGTTATTATCCGCACCATTCGCGGTTTCATTCATTCATTCAACCACTAGGGCAGCGCGAAGGACTGCTGCTCCTGGTGCCACAAGAATATAGAATATAGATTCTCTGGCAATGGTTCCGCGCAAAGTTATCCCCACCATTCGTGATTTCATTCATTCATTCATCCGTGTCTGACGTTCAGGATTGTTGGCGTTTGAACATAAATATTTGGTCAGTGCAGCACTAGTCATCTGAGTTTTGCATCTACCGATATCCAGGGAATGTAAATGGCAGAGCCCAGACGTGGCCTGCCGCAACACGTCCAAAGGACTGATAGCACTAATATCGCCCTTACTCTCGATGATGTAGTCTGTCAACATGGACTGGCACAGCTCCAAGGCGATGTAACGGAACATCTTGTCCTGCTCGGTGCAGTAGTACCGGATTACTGACCCGCAAATGTACAATGCCTGTTATTATCCCCACCATTCGCAGTTTCATTCATTCAACCACTAGGGCAGCGTGAAGGACTGCTGCCCGTGGGGCCACAAGAATATAGAATATCAATTCTCTGGTAATGGTTCCGCGCAGAGTTATCCCCACCATTCACGATTTCATTCATTCATCCATCCGTGTCTGGCGTTTAGGATTGTTGTTGCACCTACCGATATCCAGGGAATGTAAATGGCAGAGCCCGGAAGTGGCCTGCCGTAACACCTCCAAAGGGCTGATAGGACTAATATCGCACTGGCCCTCGATGTAGTCTGTCAACGTCGCCTGCCACAGCTCCAAAGCAATGTAGCAGAACATCCTGTCCTGCTCGGCGCAGTAGTACCGGATTACTGACCCGCAAATGTACAATGCCTGTTATTATCCCCACCGTTCGCAGTTTCATTCAATCATTCAACCACTAGGGCAGCGTGAAGGACTGCTGCCCGTGGGGCCACAAGAATATAGAATATCAATTCTCTGGCTATGGTTCCGCGCAGAGTTATCCCCACCATTCACGATTCCATTCATTCATCCATTCGTGTCTACCGTTTAGGAATGTTGTTGCACCTACCGATATCCAGGGAATGTAAATGGCAGAGCCCGGAAGTAGCCTGTCGTAACACCTCCAAAGGGCTGATAGGACTGATATCGCACTTGCCCTCGATGTAGTCCGTCAACGTCGCCTGGCACAGCTCCAAAGCGATGTAGCAGAACATCCTGTCCTGCTCGGCGCAGTAGTACCGGATTACTGACCCGCAAATGTACAATGCCTGTTATTATCCCCACCATTCGCAGTTTCATTCATTCATTCAACCACTAGGGCAGCGTGAAGGACTGCTGCCCGTGGGGCCACAAGAATATAGAATATCAATTCTCTGGCAATGGTTCCGCGCAGAGTTATCCCCACCATTCACGATTTCATTCATTCATCCATCCGTGTCTAGCGTTTAGGAATGTTGTTGCACCTACCGATATCCAGGGAATGTAAATGGCAGAGCCCGGAAGTGGCCTGCCGTAACACCTCCAAAGGGCTGATAGGACTAATATCGCACTTGCCCTCAATATAGTCCGTCAACGTCGCCTGGCACAGCTCCAAGGCGATGTAGCGGAACATCCTGTCCTGCTCGGTGCAGTAGTACCTGATCACGTGGGGATGGGCGTCGCTTTCGCGCAACAGGGCCACCTCTCGATCGGCCAGTGTGAAGCATTCCGGCAGGAGGCGTTTCACGGCGACTCGTCTGTTGTCGAACTCCCCCCTGAAAAGATCAGGCAAGGATTCGAACAACCGTGACATTTGTAAAAACTTCACAAACGATAAGATTTCCACAAAATTCTCAAACACACGACAAGTTTCGCTAACACGGTAGCTTCGTCAGGTAAACTAACCTCGGCTTGCTTATATATCTTTATTATTCCCAAGAAACAATTGACGTATATTAGAAGAAAGACATATTTTTGATGATAATTTCGAAATTCTACACGCAGAGAATAAAGGAATGAAACTCAATCATTTTGAATCATTAGAAATCAACAAACTCAAAAATTCTGACATTTTACCTAACGATCAATTAGACCTCAATATCACCACTGTTGAATTTGTTTTCTTAGTAGGTAATACTATGTATTTGCTATCAACCCTTTCAGGTTAATCCGGTACACCGTATTTTAATGTATAGATATTATGCCTAATTTCCGAAAATGAAGGTTTAACGATAGTAGGATATATAAAAGTTAAGGAAGCCAAGGTTAGTTCAGTTCATCGTACCAGTATATCATCTGACGAAGCCACTGTGTTAGCGAAACATGTCGTGTGTTTGAGAATTTTGTGGAAATCTTATCGTTTGTGAAGTTTTTACATTTGCCATGGATTTCCATCAAGTAACGGCCGAGTCAATTGAAAAAACCGTGACATTATTTTTAGACCGACACGCTGTTCTGTCAATTCGAATGTCGGTATGCTTTCCACATACTTCCTTATTATCCCGGCGGCAGTGTGTTGAGAAATCATTACATCAGATGTGTGGTGGGGTATGATAACAGGTGTAAACCGGGTGTCAATGAATTTCTTAGACAAGCCATGGTTTCCAGAGTTCCGAAGGTATGAGTTTCAAATTTGGCAGGGGTGTAGCATTCGAGAATAGGAAATTTTGGAATATTTCATACTTTATCATAAATTCCTTCCTATTATAAATAACTGTTTCTGTCACACTCTTTGAGTATATTGAATCAATATCTTCGTAATCGTTTGACGTAACCTTATCAAACCCGGTATCGTTGAATTCGTTATGATAATTAATCCCGAACCGATTATGGAATAAAATACCGTGTGTCTCATTTGAAAATCAAAAGTTGGGGTTGTTTCGCGTTTCCGGTGAAACCGGAAATGATGGGAGAGAATGAAATATTGCAAAATGTCACAAATCTTGCATCTAACACCCCTGCTGAGTTTGAATAACATAACTTTTGAACTCTGGATACCATGGCTTGTCTAATGAATATGTTGGCTCCTGGTATAGTTCTCAACAAGATGTTCCTTGAACCTAGTTATAATGGGTATTCTAGTTTGACCTACATATGTTTTACCGCAATTATGAAAATTAATTCCTTTTTTTCTCAGTGTTTCAGATTGCCTAACGAATTACTTGATTTAGATAAACAGGGTGATTCAAAAGTACTTTGACAAACTTTAGGAGATGAGCGTGTATCTTGGAAACGAAGCGTTTCCGGGCATGTATACTTATATGGACAATTCATATTATTAGAATATTTTGAGGAATCACCTCCTGAAGTTTATCAGAGTACTTTTGAATCACCTTGTATGTATAAATGCCAAATGAATCATTTATTTTTAAATAGTAATTCATCTACGCTCGCAACCTTGATAATTCGATTTATCAACTAAAAAATTATCAGACGATACCTGTTTAGTACTTTGACCCTAAAAGTATAGTGATTTGGTACTTGTATTACTCTATATAAAATAATATTTTATTTATTTGAAGAATCAATCAATAAAGTTCAGGAGAAATTGCAATCGATTGCAATTTCTCTTCTATTAATAATTTCATCAGTTTTTATCAAACAATCATGAATATGCAGTCCACTCATCACCAAAGCATCGAACATATTGGTCCTTCGAGCCGGATCAACATGTATATTTCATGATTGTTCGATAAAAACTGATGAAATGATTAATAGAAGAGAAATTGCAATCGATTGCGATTTCTCCTGAACTTCATTGATTAATTCTCATGTTTCAACAACACGTCATGTTAACAATAAATCAAATGTTATTTTATATAGAGTAATACAAGTTTCAAATAACTATATGGGGTCAAAGTATATAGGGTCAAAGAACTAAAGAATACCTATAAACGAATGTTCCTTCACATCCTTTCCCTAATAAATGATCAGGGTGGAACAATATTTTCCCGATTTTCACCAGCCCGTTTGGCAATTCTTCGGACACTGCTGAAACAAAATTACTATGTCCTTGAGAATCCTGCTGGCTCGACCTAGAAGCTTTTTGAACTTCTCTCACCTGAAAAAAATATTGTAGTTATATCGATGTATCCATACTTTTTTTCATATACTTACTTGAATTTGTAAATACCAAAACATACCGATCACAGAACCTGTCATGATGATCAGTGAAATTTTTAGACCTTTATTCTCCTGCCGATTGATCCAACTTTTCAAATGGTCATAATGGATTTTCATCGAATCGACGACAGTATTATTTTTCGTCAGATTGTCATGATCGATCCCATGGAAATGATTTTCGATCGTACTGATCACCTGAGATTTGTCAAACTCTTTGGAATAATGGTCTTGAGACGTTTGATCTTCATTGAATGGAGTCACGTCTCTATTTAAACCCAATAGTTTTTGGTTGCTGAATTTAGGCAAATTGTAATGCCCTGTATATATTATGATGTGGTTCCCGAACGTTGGTAAACTTTGGAACAGGTGCTTGTTTTGATTGTCTGCAACAAACACAATCAAGATGGTAAATTTTGAGCATTATACTCGTTGGAAATATTTGGTCCTAGCCAAGAAGAATAACATTTTTAATCAATATCTAGCTGAATTGTTGAATTGAGCAGGGATTTATTGAAATTTTATTGATTTTCCTGATAATTTGAAATCTTCAAGAATAAATCATTTTTGCTTCAGACATAATGATAGGTTTTTTTGTGACGGAAAAAAGTTTGACATTTCATCTCTGTTGACAGGTTCTAAAATGTCACTCTTCATAAATTATTTTTTTCTGCAATCGACACAAAAGTCGTCCATTTTAATACCCAAATTAGCTTTTGAATTGACGTTTCTATTACTGACACAAATAACTCATTTGATTGCCAACGTCACCAATTGTCACTGAGAACTGAGAAGTGTCAAGACGAATACGAATATGCTATACTAATATCCATTTTTTATGTTGAAAACGGGAGCAGATTCGTTCCCGAAACGTCCAAAGATAAGTGAAAACTTGATATTTTTTCTATATACCTTTATTTCTCTTCTCCAAACCCTTTTAAATACAAATTGTCACTGACCAGCTAGTAAATTTCTCTTTTAGACTCTCTGATAGGAAAATTCTTCAAACGCAGTGACATTTTGGGGCAAATCATCTGATTTGTCCTTAGTACACGTATATTGAGATAATATTCATAATTTCATTTTATAAAAACGAGGAGAGAAAATCCCAAAAAATCTGGAATGATGAATGTACCCAGCAAACATCGAAGGGCGGTAGAATGCCGGGCCCATGGCGAGAACGGCGGGCAAATGTAGATGTCGGCATGCCTCGAAAGGCCCTCCATATAATTTCGAAGGATTATGTGACGGAGGCAGAATGTACACATACTTATGATAGGCCTCTGTTTCCCAGCCGCTAGTCTTCCGCTGTATGTATCCAAGTCCAAGGGCCATCAAAATTTCAACGGAGTGTTCCATCATCACTCACTCAACGTTGGCATCCCCCGCTCGCGTGAGTTTTTATTTTGATCATTTTGCAGTGGCAACAATGATTCAGTATGGCGTATATTAATTTCTTTGTTTATGTTGTTTCAACATTCTCAACAGAGATTATAGTACTGGGTTCAGTTCGTGTTTGGTTTTCTAGTGGATTTTTATACAAAATGGAAGGGAATTGAAATAAATACAGAGTGAGTGAGGAACAAACATATTTACAAACTTGCACAGCTAAATAATTCTCATATTTTAGATAATAATTTTACAAACACCATTGGACAAACAGATGCAATAATAGTTTGGACATGTTCAGCGGATACACAAGAATATAATAATATATGAGAATATGCATGAGCTTTCATTACATATGAATTATGAATCTATTTTCGAAACGAAAATCAAAGAGTACCTACTTAAAGAAACAGTTATATTTCAAGAATTACTGTAGGTATGTATGAGGTTGCATGTTTTGGATTAGTAGAGAATGAAATCATTCAATCTTTCAGCTACAAAATCAACAACCAGAAGCCCATCAATCACATATATTAATGAAGAAATCACACAATGATCCAGACTATGATATAAATTTCTTCATGGTATATGATATCTCACCTCCAGGCAACACTCGACATATCAATATGATGAAGAGTGAGGTTCTCCATATCTGGGAATTGTTTTCTTGTGAATTGAACTCTATTGTTGACAATAACTTGATCAATATAATAGGTAACTGATTACCTACATAACTTTCAAGTTATTCAGTAGGTACATAGGTGATGTAATTTTTTACCTAGAGCTAGCAACTTTTGGAAACAAGTGGAAAAACAAATATCTATCCTGCATGATGAAACACAAATACCTATTATTGGAAATTGTAGGTACCTTTTCATAATGAGTATAGAGAGTGATACGTAGAACTAGAATTGATGTTTGATGTTTCCATAGTTGTGATATGTATTGGTTGTGATCATGGCAATAATATACACACATGGATATTCATACTGCTAGTTTCCTGGAGATAATTGTGATATCAGGATGCCATCTCAGAGATTTTTATGTAATAATTCAACAACTTCAGGTAAGAAGTGACTTCCACATTTCTGTTATACCCAGAGGATTCACAAAAAACTCGGAGACCTCAATTCCGTTTTTTGATGTTCCACATTTTTTAACCAGTTTGAAAATAAAGAGAGTGATGCAAATCTGAGTGAAAATAAGATACCTTGCTTTCCAAGTGGTGATATAAACTGGGATACCTATCAAAAAACTTATTTTCACTGAGATATATGCATTACCCTGTATATTTTTTGAAAATCATAGTTGAAAAATGGGACATCGAAAAACAGAATACCATGAATATTGAATTCATTCAACCCCGTTAACCAACGGCCCTGAAAAACTCCTCTATCGGGGAAATAAAAATACTCAAGCGGACAATTGATGGCAGTCTCTGAAAAGTCTCAATCGGGCCGAAGATATGCCATGAATGCAGTACATTTGAGTACTTGCTTCCGCCCATCAGAAGCCCTGCAATGTAATAAGCGGCATACTGATGGCTCTAGAGGGGCGGTCGGCTGTCGACCACCGGGACACGGGCTATCCGGCCCAATTTAGTTGTACAATAGAGGACCGCTGTTACCGCTCGCCGGCAAGTTTCATTGTACCTTTAGAGGGCCGCAAAAATCATGTTTGCTGGGTACAGTCGTATTCAATGAAGAAGCGTACAAGTATTAGTACAAAGAGAGGATTTCGGGATCCTAGTTCTAGTTGTGTAAAACTGGCTCAGCCAATGCTTTGTGTTTTTGAGAACCTATGACAACTTTACTGTCAACATTTCGTGAACAATCATTCCCGATAGCCCGTTTTATGCAGAATAGGATGACGTTAATTTCTCTCTGTAATATACTTGTACGCTTTTTTTCGAAAGCGACTGTACCTCGATTAACCTACAGACTAGTATTTTACACTGTATACTATTTTGATCTACAAACCTGCTGGCAAATGGTAGTTATGTCCCGGCACTGGATAAACCTCAGGAATTCTATAGCTCTCTGAAGCATGAGGCCCCCCTAGCAGCAGAGGCCCATTGACAGTACCAGATATGGTGACGACACTTTGATCCACTAGTGAGGGCAATGCGAACAAACCGTGCAGGTGCTCCCCAATGTAAAGAGTTGGACTGAAATGGAAAATTTCGAGTTTTTCCACAACTCAATCCACCCCCTGAATTATACAGGGCGGTCCTTCAGTAATGGATTTGTTTCAGTGAAAAATTGTATTTCATTACTAGCTCTATCTACAAGTAGGTACGGGCTGTCCCATTTTCGATGTCCTTACGGGATATCTCGCTTAATTTTGAAGATAGAGATTTGCGGTATTCGCGAACGTCGGCTACTTTTTTGTGAAACTCACGAAACCGTGAACAAAATTTCCATAGCCCGCTTCGTTCCTGAGATACAGGGCGAAATTGAAAATATTGCATTTTGGGACCCATCCTGTATCTCAGCTATCTTTCAACTTAGAGGAAAAGTAAGAACTGTTTCTTTCACAATTTTTCACGTAGAATTCAGTGGCGTAGTCAGATTTTTCAAATGAGCTGTCGTTATTCAGATATAACCCAAAGTTATGTTTTTTTAAATAGAACACCCTGTATATTTTTCAATATTTGAAACAAGAAAGCTTCGCGCTTTTCAAAAATATATAACACTTATATGATATTTTGAGTATTAGTCCTGTATTTGTGTAATTTTCAGATTTTTATGTGGGTTTCTTATTAATAGGCCTTGTAAAAATGTGGCAACATTATCCACTTCACAAATTTTCATTTCCCTTATTGCTGACACAGTGTTTCGTCACACACTTACCACATTTACCAATATTCAGTACTATCAATTTGACTATGAAAGCTGTGGACCTAATTAGTAGGTAGCTATGAAAAAAAAAACACAAATGCAGATTGTTTACAATTCTTGTCGCCTACCTGTCAAAGTTTACAAATTTCTCATACAATGGCGAATAATAATCCAGGATATCAAAACTACGAGAAATTAGATATGGTTGGGATATATTACCAAGTTGGCTTCAATGCAAATCAAGCGAAAGACCTATATTTTGAAAGGTATTTACTATCTCCCAATTGCTGGGTATCAGTTAGTTACAATATGATAAAAAATTTAGGTATCCCGAGAGGAGACAACCAAGTAGGAAAATATTTGGCAGACTGAAAGAAAATTTGGAAAATTTTGGATCTTTTGAGAAGCCTAGACCAAGAAGTTATAAGAAAGAAAATGCCGAAAACGATGAAATTAGTGTCCTTGCAAAGGTAGAAGAAAGCAATAATTATACTTATTGCAGAGAAATTGGAGAATCATTTGGCATTCCAAAGACAAGGGTGTCCAAGATATTGAAAAAAAAACAAATATACCCCCTACATACCACAAACTATTCATTATTTGTACCCTGGTGATGCTGTGAAGCGCATTGAGTTTTGTAGATGGTATATCCAAAAGACGGAAGAAAATATAAATTTTGGGCGTTCAGTGGTATGGTCCGATGAAAGCCATATAAGTAGCGCTGGAATATTTAATCGAAATAATCATCGTTATTGGTCAAATGAAAATCATCACGTTACGGTGGTTCGCCAACAGCAATGCAGATTCGGCTTTAATGTATCTTGTTTCGTTTATGGAGGAAGACTAGCCTATCGAATTTTTGACGGTAACTTGAATCACCAAAGATATTTGGAAATTTTAGATGATTGTCTTTCTGAACTACTTGACGAAATTCCGTTGGCTCAATTCAGACACAGTTTCTCCCAACAAGATGGCGCACCTTGTCATAACGCAGGTGCCATGAGGGTTTATCTTGATGAAAGATTTCAAAACCAGTGGATTGGTAATAATTGTCCCATTCACTGGCCGCCAAGGTCCCCTGACTTATCGATATTAGATTTCTTCTTATGGGGCTATATATAAAAAAAAAATATCACACGCGGCATAAAAATCGAGATTCACTGATGAATGCTACGAGAGAAGCTTTCGAATATTTACGTATGAGACCTAAATTTTTACTCCAGTCGATTGACGCTATCCTCAGAAGATGTCGGCTGTGTCTTCAACAGAATGGGCAGCAATTTGAACAATATTTATAAGACATTTTCAACAGGTGAAAAATTAATAGAATTGTTTTGTAGTAGTGTTTGAATTTATTGTTTTATCAAATTGTTTTATGTTTAATTGTTTTATCAAATTGTTTTATGTTTCATCAAATTGTTAATTGAATAATCATTTTGAATGAATACTTCTCATTCTACCCTATATGAATGAGTGGTATTTAATTATTGCGCCAGAATATCTATTCTAAAAGTAGAAGTTATTTGTCTTGACTTGCCATAAAACACTGAAAATTATTCAAATGCAGGACTAATACTCTAGATATGATAGAAATCCATGAAAATAAGTATGCTTATATTTTAGGCAGTTTTGCCGCTTCAATCAAAAAGTAGCAACAACTTATTTTTTTCAAATAGAATACCCTGTATTTTATTGCATTTCAAGATTTTCCCTGAAGAGCTGATTTAGGGTGTTCAAAATCGCGAAATCGTCGAAACTATTTATTATCGGCCAAAAACGGCTCACATGTCTCTATCTCAACTTTTGATTCACTACCTACTGATATTCAATCGGAACAGATACAGGGTGATCAGAATTCTGAATCTTGAACCAGTTGAATAGTTACATCCAGATACGGTAGTGACTTGCACCAAGTACTCGTATGAAATGAACATTTTTCGCTGAAACAGACTCCTTGGAATACTTACTAGAGTTTCATGTGGTTGGTTTTGTGTAGGAGTCCGTCATTGGAGACCAATTCATTGGTCAATTGAGCGATCGTATTGTTGGCCAAAGAAGTGAACGGCAACGACAGCAGGCCATCGGAATCTAAGAGATACACTCCGATAACGGGACTCCCCATGTCCTTTTCCCATACAAGGTTGCCACGTCTCCGATTCAGCGTGACAACTTGTCCGGTGGATGTTGATGTGAAGTGAACAAAATCTGAAATTCGATTAGAAGAGAGACGTTCAGCGAGGTTTGAGAGAGAAAAATGCGTTGTCCTCTTCTGTTCTTGTCTTCAGGGTTTCAACGTAAAAAAAGGCGTTTTTCTACTACTGCTTTGAAGAGTAGCGCATTTCTCATAGCTTACTTAGTTTCAAAACCATGTATTGCTCATACTGTGAGGAATATTTTTTCTCACGGCACTTTGCCAACACTCACTCGTGTGTTTGCATCACTCGCCCTTCAGGCTCGTGCCACAAATTTTCACACTCGTGAGAAAAGTTGAACTATCCCCACTTGTTGCACAATATACTATTTTTATATTGGGTTTCTTCATTTCTGCTCATTTTTCACACGAAATTTTCATAATTTTACGTTGAAACCGTAACAGATAGTGAAGACATATTTTTTCTTTCTCGAAGCAGGATGAACTTCTCAACAAACCCCTAAAACTGTAATGGTACCGCGTTGCATTTTGACTTTCGATGTTTATCGATATCACGATATCTTTACCTTAGACACAATGTATGAATGAGTAATTTACGTAACAAGTCCGGAAAATACTGTTGTTTTGGACCAGTAGACAAAGTTCTAGGCTAAGCCGTAGGCGAGTCCTGGAAGTCTGCGAGTCCGAAGAAAATTGTTTTTGGACGTGTTGCGTACACAATTTTTTCACCCACCATTTGTAGAATAAAAATTCAATGAGACACATTTCCATATTATATTTCTTTGTGGAATACAATTTCTTCTTTATTGATTCTTATTTGTATCAAATACTGAAATTTGAACAGAATACCTATACCTACTAACTGCTACATTGGAAATTTCGTATGGACATTTTTAAACTCAGTATCGCTGCTGCTTTCGATAGTTAATAGGTCGCGTGCACGATGACCGACCCTGGAGGCAAAATATTGAAACACAACCTCACTCTTCTGTGAATTATTGAAACACAACCTCACTTTTTTATTTGTTTACAGATGAATCAAAAGGTTGAAATAGTTTTTCACAATATTTTGGCATACGAATCGTGTTTCTTGCGTTATTCATTAATTCAAGCATGCCTTCGCATTGTGCTGTTGTACAATGCACAAAAAATGCAGCAAGAGACTAGGGAATATGATTTTTCAGGTAAATAGTAAATCTCACATAGTTATCATTATGAAATGTTGTCATTCCTCCTTCTGCCTTCTGCCACTTCTGTAATACAAGCTAATACTGCTAATAGATTGAAAATGTCTACAACACACACGATCGTCAGCATGTCAGACCAGTCCTCCCGATTGATTGCAAGAATCCAATCTTCTTGCATTATTCTAGAAATTTCAGGTATATTTCTATTAGCTCCTATTGCAGAAGGAATTCCGATGAGGAATCAGAGAAATTACCAAATTTCAAAAATGAAAACTATATGTGAGTGATTATAGTAGGTACTTACTTTTAAATCATAATGTACCACCCGGATTCCTTCATCTTCCGCTGCAGTTTTTGTGCATTTTACAACAGCACAATGTGATGGCATGAGCGAATTGATGAATAGCGGAGAAAGACGATTCATAAGCCAAAATAATTGTGGAAAACTATTTCGATCACTTGTAAACAAATAAGAAAAGTGACGTTGTGTTTCAATGTTTTGCCTCCAGCTTCGGTCATCTGACAGTTCTTGGACGCAACCCATGGGTCGCGTGCACGAAGACCGACCCTGGAGGCAAAATATTGAAACACAACCTCATTCTTCTGTGAATTATTGAAACACAACCTCACTTTTTTATTTGGTTACAGAGGAATCAAAAGGTTAAAATAGTTTTTCACAATATTTTGGCATACGAATCGTGTTTCTTGCGTTATTCATTAATTCAAGCATGCCTTCGCATTGTGCTGTTGTACAATGCACAAAAATGCAGCAAGAGACTAGGGAATATGATTTTTCAGATAAATAGTAATCTCACATAGTTAGCATTATGAAATGTTGTCATTCCTTATTAAAATTCCTTCTGCCTTCTGCCACTTCTGCAATACAAGCTAATGCTGCTAATAGATTGAAAATGTCTACAACACACACGATCGTCAGCATGTCAGACCAGTCTTACCGATTGATTGCATGAATCCAATCTTCTTGCATTATTCTAGAAATTTCAGGTATATTTCTATTAGCTGATCCTATTGCAGAAGGAATTCCGATGAGAAATCAGAGAAATAACCAAATTTCAAAAATGAAAACTATGTGAGTGACTATAGTAGGTATACTTACTTTTGAATCATAATGTACCATCCGGATTTCTTCATCTTCCGCTGCAGTTTTTGTGCATTTTACAACAGCACCATGTGATGGCATTAGCGAATTGATGGATAGCGGAAAAATACGATTCATATGCCAAAATAATTGTGGAAAACTATTTTGATCACTTGTAAACAAATATGTTTTGCCTCCAGGGTCGGTCATCTGACAGTTCTTGCACGCGACCTATTGCGATAATTTCAACCAAACTTTCAAAAATCCAAATGTCAACTAATTTCATGTCAAATAGCTGTCAGCCGATATTTCGCTGCTATGGTAATTATCATCTGCTTTTATCAAAACCTTATCTACCAAGATTTCCATATTTACAGTGACAACAACGATGTGATACTTTCTTTACTGAATGCGGATTTACATGCAATAAACGCGCGCTGATTGACCAGGATCAAAGCAAGCGGATGAAACGCGCTGATTCGCCGGGTCAGTGAAAATACTCCTTGGCGCTGAGGAAGGATCCCCACAGCACGAAGGGAACGTTCTCCTCTTTACATCACTAAATAAGGGCGACTCTTGCATTTTTTTTCCAATGAACAGGCAACAATGACTGGATTCTTTCCTATTTCATGTTTGATTTTTCACTAATAAAGCACCTCACAATATTCCTCAGAAACACTTCTTACCATAAACATTCAACTCCTTTTTAGTCATAGGTCGTGCAGCATAATCATAAAATGTGATGTTCCATTTGTTTTCTGCTTGTTTTTCATCGACCATCCTGAGATTGTACTGAGACCTGCCGATATACACGAATAATTCTGTATCTACTGGACAGGTGGGGCTATAGTCATCCCAACCGAGGATTTGTTGTTTTTTACCAGTAGAGGGATCCAACTTGAACCAAGTGTCTTTTTTCTTTCCTACAAACAATAAGTATTGTTTGGAAATACACTCAGTTCTTCTTAAAAAAAAAAAAATAGTAGGCCGATTTTAATTTTTTTTTATTTGTTGGTAGGTGATGCATTTGTCTTTAAAAAAAAAATGAAGAGGTGAAAATTTTCTCAAAGCCTCCTTGATGGTGGTGGAATAACTCGAACCATGGGGGTAACTCTACAACATCAGACAGAATTTTTGTTTTACAAAAAAGGGCAATAAGATATATGTTTGGGCTAACTTATAGAGCATCATGCAAATCCACATTTGTTAAGAATAAAATTCTTACTCAGCCTTGTTTATACATTTTTGAGATACTGAAATTTGTAAAGCAAAATATGACTGACTTTGTGTATCAAAATGCTACTCATACATATCCAACACGGTATGGGCATAATTTACAATATGATATCCATAGATTAGAATTGTACAAATCAAATCCTTATTATATGGGCTCAGTCTTATATAACAAATTGAGCAATGGAATAAAAAACATGACTAGTTTGAAAAAGTTTATGTCTGCTATCAGATCAGTATTGCTAGAGAATGCCTTTTATTCCGTTGAAGAGTACCTTCAGTACTCTGTTTAGTATCGGTAGATGATTTGTGTGAATGGAATTAGTTTAGGTGATAATAAAAATTGTTAAGAACTTTTAAGACTTGTCCTTTATCATAATTGTATGATCTTCTTGGATGAATAAAGGTATTCTATTCTATTCTATTCATGATTTATTCTCAATTTTTGACTCACCCTGTGTGTTAATTGAGTAATGGTATACAAAGTGCTTACACCCTATACGAAAGAGGCTTCTTTTGCGAGCATTTTGTTTCTTTATTCATTAATTTATCTCTAAAATTTTTCGAATTACAGCTTTTTTTGCTGAATCCTTGCAGATTACCAACTTTCTGAATTTATCGAGAAACAATTTTCTAATGAAATAAACTGATACCAATAATTTAAAAAAAACATTTTCATTGAACACAAAATTATAAATTGGGATGACTGCTTAATACCGCTAACAGTTTAAATTTTAATATTATTCCGAGTATTTCTCCGGTTCTTCAAAAGGTAATAACTCGCGGTTTTCACCATTTTTCCTCTCGTTTACTTTACTTTCATATCATAGAAGGAAAAATATATGGTTCCATTTGAAATTCTCGAGAAAAAATGGCAAATCGGCTGATTTTTCGAACGATGCCATCTAGCGGCCACCACGGGATTCAAATCGACTTGATTCGTGATTTATCGGGAAGATCTGAAAAAACCCTTCATAATGAGACCAAGATCGCTTATTTCCATTACACCAAACTGTAGTAATGAGAGTTTTCCAGAGTACTATTCATCCTTCTCTTCCTCTTTTATTTAAAGAGCTAGCGCCATTTTTTTTTACAGAAATGATTGGGAATCAACTCTAGAACATGAAAAAAGTGTTTCTGATAAGGCTTGATATATCAATTGTTCATAAAAACCCGTTTTTCAAATCGGCCAATGCAATTATGCCCTCTAGTGGCTGTCCTGGAAACTTGAAAATAATTTTCAGAGATTTTTCTTGGCCACTTTTATCAAAAATATTCTTTTCCGGAACCTGTGCGGCAAATAGTTTCCGAGATACAGCCGGCGTCCTTTCTGAGTGGTACACCCGGTACATAATGATCATGGATTTTCAGAAAAAAAACATTTGGTCATAAAAAGTGTTGAAAAGGAATATTCTCAGATAAATTATGAACATACAAAAATGGATATATATTTATATAAAGCAATACATTGAGAATTCGCATTCTCTATGTGATGAGAATATTTACTCTTTTTCAGTTAATTCAATAGAAAACAACTACTTTCCTGGCTATATGCCACGACGAACATTGAATTATATCTATTGAACACACACGATAAGAGTTTGAAAATAAAATATAAATATTTCTGAAATTGAGAATTTGCATTCTCCTTCAGACAAAAATATGTATATACACATATCATTCTGAATATTCAACAGAAAACAACTACTTTCCTGGCTATTTGCCACGTCGAACATTGAATTATATCTGATGAACATTCAAAAGGGGAACATGAAAAATAAAGAATTAAATCCTCCGAAATTGAGAATTGACATTCTTCTTCAAATCGGATGAATAATATGATGAATAATGATCTAGAAATATGACTTACCAATATATTCAGCATTGAAATGAAAATTGGAATGTATAGGAGAAGTATACTGGCATGAACTCTGATCTTGATGAGCTTGAACACGTCCAAAAATAATCATTTATATCAGTGATAAATATTGTTGTAACTCGACGAAGTTCTCGTATTTCGAAACCACCTAAATATTTGGAGGAGTATGTTGGATATTGATTTTTCAATAAAAAAAAAAAAAAAAAAAAAAAAAAAAAAAAAAAAAAAAAAAAAAAAAAAAAAAAAAAAGCGTGTTGTGTAGGTCATCATTATTAAGTATTATTGACCTGCATATGTATTTATTTATATCCTTGTTTATATATCACACTGTATAGACTATAGATCTCTAGTTGATAGTTGATTATTATATGAATGTTTGGCCAGTAACATAGATACGAGATTGTTTAACAAACTGATTTAAAATGCTAATAAAGATAAAATGTTATAAAAACACTTTTTAAATGTTCACTTCATTCAACAGGGAAAACCAACGGCTCTGATAGCTTGCTGTCAAACTAGCAGAGCCATAGCTAAACAATTATTATTTTGAAAACTTCATATATACCATGATTTATTACTATTTTATTAGTAATTTATAACTATAATCACGAATTTTTTATTTGATTCAATTTGAACATGTGATTTGAATTTTGGTTCTGCTAGGTTGAGATCAAGATAGTCAATTCGTCGTTTTTTTCCTTGAAATGATGAGTAAAAAATTCGTGATTATAGTTATAAATCACTAATAAAATAGTAATAAATTATGGTATATTTGAAGTTTTCAAAATAGTAATTTTTTAGCTATGGCTCTGCTAGTTTGACAGTAAGCTAGCAGAGCCGTTGGTTTTCCCTGTTGAATGAAGTGTTAGAAATTTGCGAATGTGGTGATAAATTAGTAATAAATTAGTAACTTATCGATGATACGACAGAATTTCAAAAAGCATGTGATTTGAGTTTTGGTTTTGCTAGGTTGAGTTCGAGATAGACAAAGCGTCGTTTTTTTCCTTGAAATGATGAGTAAACAATTCGTGATTATAGTTATAAGTTAGTAATAAAATAGTAATAAATTATGGTATATTTGAAGTTTTCAAAATAATGATTGTTTAGCTATGGCTCTGCTAGGTTGACAGCAAGCTAGCAGAGCCGTTGGTTTTCCCTGTTGAATGAAGTGTTAGAAATCTGCGAATGTGGTAATAAATTAGTAATAAATTAGTAACTTATCGATGATACAACAGAATTTCAAAAAACATGTGATTTGAGTTTTGGTTCTGCTAGGTTGAGATCGAGATAGACAAATTGTCGATTTGTTCCTTGAAATGATGGGTAAAGGATTCGTGATCATAGTTATAAGTTAGTAATAAAATAGTTATAAATTATGGTATATTTGAAATTTTCAAAATATCAAATTTTCAGCTATGGTTCTGCTAGGTTGACATAAAGCTAGCAGAGCCGTTGGTTTTTTCTGTTTAATGAAGGGTAATAAATTTGCGAATATGGTAATAAATTAGTACTAAATTAGTAACAAATTATAGTACTATTGCAAATCCGGAATATTGAAGTGGTTCTGCTAAGTTTATTGGGGTCATTTCTTATCAATTACCTACCTGAGAAGTTTAGCAAAGAGGAATCCAGGACAGTTTGAAATAGTGTAGCCTCTAGTTTAGTTCATATTGAAAAGTATTTATACAGGGTGTAATTTAATTGATGACTGAAAATATAGGATTTGGTCCTTAGCTCATTTTAAGAAGAAAAGTTTATATGAACATATTCCCTAAATCTCTTAACTTTTGAACTATAGGGTGTTAACATTTTATTTTCTCTTTACTGATTAAAGAAACTTTCACAATGAAAAAAACCTTCACGTTTATAAATACTTGTCAAAATAAGACTGCAACTTAATCGCTCAAATGTCATTATTTCAAATACAAACTAGGACGTTAGCCTACTAGTTCAAAATAATTTCCTTATGCTGCAAATGCATGAAAATTGTTTTTATTTTTTTACATGAAAACGGTTCATTGGATGGAAAAAAATCAAGAGGTCATTCAAAAAATTATTTTCTGAAAAATCAAAAGCATACAATATTTTTTCAAAAAATCTCTAGGATACTCTTTACATACGCCACTGGTGGAGATATTGGAAAATCGTCTGCATTGAAAAATGCCTATTGGTGCTCAGTAAATGCATGTCAAATTTCATGAAAATATCTATAACAGTATTGAAGTTATGATAGCAGAACGATTTTTTTCTTAAAATTTTAACACACCATAGGTTGAAAGTTAAGAGGTTTAGGCGGGTTTAGGGCATATGTTCATATGAATTTTTCTTCTCAAAATGAGCTAAGGACCCATATCCTTGATTTTCAGCCATCAATTAAATTACACCCTGTATATTGTTTTGATAAGGTACTCCAGAGGGTACTCCTCTTTCCTACATAGGTTGAATTGAAATACACATAAACTTCTCTTACATGAATAAAGTCATTTACTACTATTATGGTTTTTATCTTGGTTTTGTAGTATAGATTTTGAAGACAGGTATACAAATAGGCAACCAAAGAAATTTATTTGAAATTTCCCCTTATTGTTTTTTACAGCATTATCAGTTTGTAAAAGAACCACCATAAGCCTCAGAAAAATTTGATGATAAAAAGGAAGACAAGAGTTTCCAATGACTATTTTCACTTTCTATCATTTCTGAGGCTGCTTTTAGTTATAATTTTGAGGGTGGAATGTTGGAAATCACATTATAGATGTTCATCAAATCTTATGGAGGATATATATATATATACATATTACTCATTCATGACTTCCTGATTTAGATATCACAAAACATGCAAGCCAAGCATAAGTCTACTACAGTGAACATTCAAAACTTATGCAGCTGCCCCCTTGTCTACAAAAGCATTGCATATATATATATAGTGTAGATATGTTAGTAAACTTGAGAATAGTGTCAATGATAACTCCTGTATTATTTTGTGATAATAAATAATATTGAATCTTGAATCTTGATTCCATGAAAATGTTGATTTAAAATGTGGAAATTATTTACTTTTAAACAGAAAAGTACACTTTCTTCTGCATTATTAAATAAAGGTACATTATGATACTTGCAGTTCCAGCTTTTAATTCAATTGAGTTCCTGATAGTACTTCTGGTATACAGAGTACCAATTTCTCTCCTATAAGTTTCCTGATAATTCTAATTCTATTCTAACCTGTATACAAGATTCCATCTGAACTTCTACATGGAGATGTAGATACAAGTTGAGGTATGGTGAAGGGTAATTTTTTCAGAGGTTCCTGTACATTTCCTATCAAATATAGAGAACCATCTCGAGGATCTGGTAAATAAATAGGCACAATTGCACTGGATATATCTAAAGGTACTTGTACAATAGGTTCTGAAAGCAACAAAGTTTTGTCAGTCCTAATTCAGTAAGATAATCTATGGTAAGATGATAGCTTTCTTTACTTTCTTTAATTTTCCATTTAATCAGTCCTGTTTGTTGCTCAACTGCCGTGAGGGAACCGTCGATTGTGGAAAATATTATGAGCCTATCATCTTTTTCTAGTACTACTTCTAGGCTTGAATCTTTAGAGGTGGTCTGAAATAATCATAAGTCAACTTCTGAGGACAGCTGATAAATAATACCTGAGGATGATATACTAACATCTGTTATTTCAGCCGAGGCTATCAGAAATAGCAAGAGTGTAGGTAATTTCATCAGCATGATTAGGGTCATGTTGATTGATAAGAAATGAAAATAAGTATATCTCTCCAGATTTTTCTACGATATCACAAAATTGAGACCTTCAAGATGAGTGTTTTTAGCTGCAAATTTCATTCTCATATTTTATTTTTCTTGTTCTGAATTTCGAATGCTCAAATGAAAATATTTACACCAATTTTTAACACTTTTCACTTTTTAGCAAAATAAAAATAACTAATAAATGATATCTTAAATATTCCATATGTCATATGTCAATATAATATTGTCAATGTCAGAAATCAGTCTTCTTCTCTTGTTTGTTCTATTGTCCTATTTTTGGTGGTGTACAATAGTGATTGTGTACATCATTCTGTACGTGTAGTAGCAAGCACTCTCGTTAAAAGAAGAGAGCCTAAACTTTTCGAACCATTCCCAAACCTCATTGTCAGATTTATATATCTACTATTCATATAATATATGAATCATAGCTGTCCTCCTCAAAGCGGGACCAACTTCTGTCTTTATAGGCAATGAACTGAATGTAACTGTTTCCATCCTTCACTTTCCGTCCTTATAGATTCAAAAAGTACCTCCTAGATCATACAGGATGATGTATGATCTGAGAGTACTTCTCATTTTGGTCCCATTTTTGTTGAGATATCGTATTTCGTATAGGCGATGAGCCATATATAGATATACTACATACAGAATGATGCAAATGTATGGAATAAATTCATTTCAAAACAAGACGACTTTTGAAAAAATCCAAAAACTGGAGTTCAGAACTTTTTTAATTGATGTATTTTTTAAACTAGACAACCCTTCGATGTTCAATTCTCAGTAACAGACCTCTGCAAGATAATTTAATTTCAATCTTCCTATACAAAATTTTGACTGTTGAATAGACGATCAGTAGACATTTCAAACGAGGTGTCAGTGGTGTCACATGACCTCTGTTTGTATTTGAAAAAATCGTCCATCACGTCATTACTTCAACATCGGTGACGTAACATCTCTCATATGAATATCATGAGATGGGGCTTCAAAAATGAAAACTCACGTGTTTTTGGAATTTTTTCAAATGTCGCCCATTTCTCAAATAATGAATTTATTCCATACATTTGCATCATATACTGTATATGGACAGATTGGTCACAGTGAATGACGCATGCGTATTCGCTCGTAGAAAAACTTATTATTAACGACAGCTCGACAGCCTCGGAGTCTTGAGAGGAAGAAAAAACATATCCTTGAAAGCCTAAATCACTTAACGAATGATAACAGTGGTATGACGCCATGCTATTAGTGGACCAGAATAAAACTCTCTGACCAAACTCAGCCTCCACAATTTTATATCACCACGCGATGGGAATGGTTCGAAAGATTTAGGTACCCCGTTACCATCGAGATGACCTCTCGCTCAGTTTTGTTTCATTGCCGTGGCGGTATTTTTAAAATTCCCTTGAGAATATCGAATATATGGAGAGAATAAAATTATCATTTCTGCATGAGGATATTACGTTTTTGCAAGAATCTGAGCATACAGATTTTCATCATACCAATAAATGTTACCTATTAGATATTTTAACGTATAGTTTCTGATCCCAGTCAACTTTATTCGATATAATGATTTTCAATAGGTAGGTATTGTTGAAAATAAAGGTACTTTACTCTTCAGCAAAATTAATGTTTATGTGGAACATATAGGCATGGTTGAATGCCCAACATTTGCGTATTAAAATAAGCAGATCGAGTTAACAGATGAGTTGTTGTCTTCCCCGGCGACAATAAAGTCAATATAAATAAACGATGAATATATAATGCCCAATACTTATCTGCTCACTGGCAAAAAAAGAATACAAAAATGTGAAAAGCCAACAGATTTTTGCCGTCAAAGATCATTTCCCCAGCAGAGAAAGCATTGGGCCAATATAACTGATAGTTCAGTTTGTTGGAGGAAGTTTCTGCTTTCTTCGTACAACCGCGAAAGTATTCGGGATTTTCCAAATTTCAGAACGGCATATTTTGTTTGGCATAAAAATTGCGCAACTTCGCCATAATTGAACCGACCCTCTGTATCTCTCACGATTTACGAGATCTCAAAGATGATGCTCGAAATTCCAGCCACCACCCAGATAGCACAAGACGTCTTTAAGATGTCTGAATTATATCCTATCTTAGTCTGTACGTCTTACTCCCTGAATAAGACGTCTACAAGATGTCATCATTCAGACGTTTTAAAGATATCTGTTTCTCACGTCCTGAATACGTCTTAAAGACATCGTAATAATACAAATGAGCAATAATGATATTTGGTATATTATAATAAGTATTAATCATAATAATTTTGAGTGTGTCATATCTGAACGTTCTCCACTCTCAGAATTCCTGAATTCCACACTTATATAGTTATGGTTCTATTCTCATAATATGCGTTGAACTTTTAATACAAAATATAGGTATGATCATATTGATTCAGGCTGATAGAATATTTTCAATTTCATAATTTTTATAACTTCACCGTAATACATAGAGGTTATAGATTGTTCAGAGCAGAGATTAGTCAACCGTGGTTGACTAATCTCTGGTTCAGAGTAAGTTATTTTATAAATCGGGTGGGATGATTTGAAAATACCGCCATGTCAAACGAATGAGAGATCGTTGCGCCAGAGCCAGAACGGCGAATGCCAGTACTATTTGATTGTTCACATTTTACATTGTTTGGTTTTGGTGATGGTGTTTATTGAGAGGTGTGTTTATGTAAATTTCGTTTTGAGTTCTCAATCAATCTCAGCTTTGATATTTGTGTATTTTTTAAATCCGTGTTTTCCAGTGGTTCATTGTGTTTTGATTGAGGACAATAATATCTCTGATGTTTAACAGTAGAACACCTACCTACCTCTAGTTGGAATGTTGAACCTAGAACCTATACCAACATAATGATAACCTGTAAGTTTTCATCATTATTGAACAAGAATTCTTATGATTTGGCCATTTAGCCTGTGCATTTTAATCTGTCTACACTTTTTCAGTGATTCAGTGTCTCCAAAATGAAGCTGAGCTCATAAATGCGGGCCACCTGGTTTTGGCTGGTCAAATGGATGCAAATGATTGCATTGAAGTATAATAAGTATTATGCCTTATTATGTTTACAGTCCACTGTGTGTGTCAGGTAAGAAGAACTCTCCCTAATAATGATATTGGTAAACTCCTGAAACTCAACTCTATATCATTGTTTTCAGGAAGAATGTGGGATCTTCCAGAGATATGTATATGCTTGGTTGACACAAAAAGCAATCAACAGAGCGACTAATACAAACAGTATTCCTGTAGATGAGGTGTCCTGTTTTAAGAAAAAAATGAAGAGACCAGTTATATGAAACATAATGAATATTCTCAATTTTCCTATCACAAACAGGGTGGACGAGCAACTTCTTTTCTGGAAATGGTAGTTGTACTTTTCAAATAAATGTAACAAAGATCAACTATTTTTTTGTGTTGTATGTAGGTACCTACATGTTTGCTTCATAGCTGGCACTTTGACTTGAAAAACATAGGAATGAAAACAGTTATTGAATAATACTTTTAACATCCAAATACTCCAAATTCCACTTTAATTAATCCCCAGAGGAACCCTGAAATCCATTCAGAAATGAGGTCTTTCTCATGTCTTTTCTATGCCTTTATAAGACTCAGAAGAGACATTATAAAGATATCTTAAAGACGTCGTGATTTTTAACATCCGGCCTATAGAAGACGTCTTTCAGACGTCTCTAAGGCGTCCATAGACGTCTTAAAGACGTTGTGAACGTCTGAAAACGATGTCTTTAGGATGTCTTAAAGATGTCTTTGTGCTATCTGGGCATGCATGTACAGTGTGTCCATAGTTTTCGATGCTCTCGAGATAGAACCTTGCGGTTTTCGCGGTCCTGTGCCACTTCTTTGTGAAACTCAAGATGGCATAATAAGATTTTGAAAATTCATACTTTTTGGACCTCCTCTATACCTACGAAGTTTCTCAGCAAAAATGTCAAATTAAAATCTCATACCATAGAGAATTTCCCGCAGAATCCAGTGGTACACTCAAATTTTCTTGTCGGGGTATGGTTTTGGAGATACTAATACTGAAACTTATGATTTTTTAATAGTTATTTTCCGTCGACCTCGTATTAACGACTAAGTTTAATGTATATGAAATCGTTCATTAATGACCCCTATTAATGAACGATTTGTCTATTAATGTACGATTGTTTCATAGGCAACCAAACATACACCGCGTGCATTCATTGTTTATGCTATAACTTACGGAATCTGCATTTAAATCGAAAATATGGATTTCATTGAAGATTTTCTGTTAACGGGTTCACCTTTCCAAGTTTCTGACACGATTTTAATCCCTGTTTTCTAACACAAGGAATTTATTTTCTATGTTGATCATTTCGACAATTGCAAATGTCACTAATGTCAGTGACAAGGCTACTGGGTGATTCTTAGCAGTTTCCAGATGAATGATGAATTCGCGAACCAAGTTTTCTTCATTGCAGGAGAAATGAGAAATATAGTCGACGGAAAAATTTTGTAACCAACTTGTATATTAAAAGGCGATTAATGATCTCGAACATTAACGCGCTCGCTTCGCTCGCACGTTAAAATATCTCGATCATTAATCGCCCTCATTAATAAACTAGTTGGTTAAATAACACTAGTTGGTTAATAGTTATTTAACCAACTAGTTTATTAATGAGGGCGATTAATGATCGAGATATTTTAACGTGCGAGCGAAGCGAGCGCGTTAATGTTCGAGATCATTAAACGCCTTTTAATATACGAGTTGGTTACAAAATTTTTCCGTCGACTACATTTCTCATTTCTCCTGCAATGAGGAAAACTTGGTTCGCGAATTCATCATTCATCCGGAAACTACTAACAATCACCCATCAGTAGCCTTGTTACTGACATTTGACATTTGTCGAAATGATCAGCATAGAGAATAAATTCCTAGTGTTAGAAAACAGGGATCAAAATCGTTTCAGAAACTTGGAAAGGCGAATCCGTTAACGGAAAATCTTCGATGAAATCCATATGATCATTAATAGGGGTTATTCATTAATGAACGATTTCATAAACATTAAACTTACTCGTTAATACGAGGTCGACGGAAAATGTATTTTATAAGCTCATGAAATTCCTAATTTTTTTCTCTTCAAAATGATATATATAATGTATGGATATAAGATTTTCAAAAATGCTCCAAAATCACTAAAACATTGG